ATTTCCAAAGACAACTGACATATATGACGCAAAAGCATCGAAAACTGGACACACTGTACAGCTGGAGGAATAAAAATATGTCAGGTAGATTGAAAATGATTGATTATAACAGCAAACTAATTTTCAAGGTCTTGACCCAACTGCAAGTTAGAAAGCTACTAATGTATGGCCTACGTAAATCAACCTGCACAATATATTCGGTAATGTCATAATTTTACTGAAATTATATAGTGCCTGGATACACCATACATTACTGCAATAAATACAAGTACCTACACTATTTTTCCGATGTCAATTAATCATTCCAGAATTACGTCATTTGACAGGTTGCTGCGGGACAAACATTGTGTTTTGTCAAAATTTGTTATATGAAACCAGAATTAGTGCGATCGTTTTCCTTGGAATCCGAGTTGGAACCAGAAAGAATTTCATAATTTTGTTTGGTGAAACTATTATTATATTGTGGATGTGGCAGGGACGGCTAGAGCAATGCTGATCGAAGGTAACCTAACAGATAGTTTGTGTGCCCCTCAAGAAACCATGTCAAAATCACGTGTTCTAGAATGATCAATAGGCCTTTTCATTTGGATGATAAATGACTATTTTTGTTTACATCTCGAATCCAAGGACAGTGGCGGCCATTTACACCGAAACACTTACACCATAGTACCAACACTCCTCAGTACCTAACGAAGTATCGTTTTTTGGAATTAAATTATTATAATACACTTAATACACACCAGGAATATGGAAACAAAAATACTATGTTGTTATTGTTGTTTCTCAACGAAGAATGCCCATGGTGGTTGACACTGTTGACATTTGACAGAACGTCTATAAACCATATTCGAAATGACCAATCAGCATTTTGTGTTGGAACTATAGCCAATGAGACTTCACCTTCGCATTACCCAATAAATTTTTGGATCTAAAAACGAGCGCATGCGTCTTAAAAATATATCTAGATGAAAAGGCCTATTGGAGTAACTCGAGCAAAAAAACATACGCCGCGCGTTGACTGTCCGATCAGAGTTCTAACAAAAGGGTTCCACATGGTGGACAATTGGACATATTCCTTGCTGAAAGTGCTCCTGGCTTTGGAAAGACTATACATACACATGCTGTTTTTGTTTTTGTAAATGTCCATACGAAATTTCCAATGTAACAGTTAGTAGGTATTCTGTTCAAATTTCAGTATTTGATACAAATTTGAATTAATAAAGAAGAAATTGAATTCTACAAAGAAATACAATATGGAAATGTGTCTCATTGATTTTTTATTCTACATGGTTCTCGAAAAAATAGTGTAAGCAAAACGTCCAAAAACAATTTTTTTGGACTTCCAGGACTATTGCTTACGGCTGGGCCTAGCGAATTTTGTCTACTTGTCCAAAAAAACAGTATTTTACGGACTCGTTACGTAAATTACTATTCCAACGATGTATTGTTAGTTGCACAATTGAAAAACTGCAATGCGGAAAACAGAAAAATAAGTTAAAAATATTGTTTTTTTTTTTTCATGAAATAATTCCTTCTCTTTTTCTCAAAATCGAAGGAATTCCTCAGGATCATCAACGATACCCTTGTTATCATATATTATCGTAATTCAATCCAGAACCTATAGTTAGTTATATATTTATTGTTTTTCAAAAGAATTCATTTTAGACCATGAAAAACGTGAAAAATTGTAGTACTGTACGGTGTATCCTCCTCTTGATCAGAGATGCAGCTACATACAACCTCAAATTTTTTGTAAAACACAAAATTGAACCATCGAAAAATAATGGCTCACGTGTGTAATCAATGAATTATATAGCCAAGGTCAGAAAAATCGAATCAAACTTGAAAAATGCTGTCCAACCGATTTCGAATTTCAACCTTCTTGCTTATATTATACAGTGTGTTCAAGCTCTTATGTGATATTTTTTCCTACACATCAGAAAAATAATAATCGACCTATTCAAAATATCGATGTTAGTCAATAAGTTCTTTTAAGTCCTATTTTATTATTCGTTTCATTATTGAAGCTCGGGTAGAATCATATAGATATGAGTTTGAAATTTCAAGGAAATAGGTATAAGTCCATATTATATATACATGATAACACAAAACGTATGTTTTAGATCAAACTTCAGAGTAGATGTATGTTCCATGACTTGGTTTGAGATTTGAGTCACCTAGTATAATATGGATTTATTCCTGATATTTCTGAAATTACATTGAATACTTTATGAATCCACCTACGCTAAAAAGAAACGAATAATCAAATAAGACTTCAACTAACAACGCTGTTGATAAAAACTTTATCGATATTTTGAGTGGATTTTGCCGGTGACCTAAATCAACTATCAAACCGGTTCACTTCAATTCGTGATAATGCCTAGATATCCGAGAATACTAAAAAAATGTAGCTCAAGTCACTGACTCACTGCCTTGTCTCATAGTAGCTGGGAACGCACTGTATATTTAATGATAACATGCAACTCTGAGAATTTGTTTATTATCATGTGATGAACTCATTTTTTACAAATCTAATATTTTCGCAATCCTAGTGTGTACGTTTATTTTTTTCTTTGAATTAGGTACTTATTATATCATAGGTTATATATTGTAATAAATTATTACTCATTACCTTTGCTTTGCATTCTTTTTTAAAACTCATTCAAAGGATGTATTTTCTACTAGCCTTGCATGAAGGGGGATATTTGAGCAAAACCAAAATGAATAATCTAAATGAATTATTGAGACATCCCATTTTGTATTTTGTTTAGTTTTTGATAAATACTAGTCAGTTGTATTTCACAAGTGTTTTCAATTTGATAGTAACTGCTGCCAGTAAATGGCACAAAATGTCTGACCCTTTACAATTGGCGAGAGGACATTTTTTTCTTAAATAGAATTCCTCATTTTTCGGTCGATTTTCGAGTGCTAAAATTTTCAATAATTTCACGGTAATTTTCATACGGCTAGAAATTTACCGCCAAATACGATTGGGAACTTCATAAATAATAGTTATTCAATAATTCATAAATTTACGATCTAGTATTGGTGATATTCCTAATTAGCAATAAAGATTCAAATGTCTCAATGTTCCCTCATGATTGATGATGAATTTGTGTAAATAATAATTATATTAATTCACACTAGAGGACATTTGAATCGCTGAACGTTACAACAGCGCACGAATTGTGGGCGCGGTCTTGTCAGTTCTCAGCATTCAGCACAATGTTGCCAAGTCTCCAACATTTACATATTTTGTTATGGAGAATATGAAATATTTCTACATGATAGTTGTTCGAAAAAGTCAAGAATGAACTATAATATCATGGGTTCGTTCCTCCTATTATGTTTCATTCAACAACAGGACTCCAACATCTCTTCGATAACTTGATTATACTAGTTTCATGAGTGGAAATGGAAGATTACCAGACCAATAACTAAACAGCATAAAAACTGATGTCAACATTCATTCGACGTATCGACAAATGGCGGCCATGACGGTTCGTTTGAATTTCGAACAACGCATTATTTACGTAAAAAAAGTTAAGTATAGTATGTAAAAAAGTTGAGTATAGTACTTAATGCGTGTTGTAAAGCAATTACGCACTCATGGAATTAAAGACTCGCCACTCCGCGGCTGTGTGCGTAGCTTTTCCATTCGTGCGTAATATGCTTCTTACAACACATATTACGTAAAAAAGTATTATTAACCACGAGCCAATAAAGACATAGCCACCTCTGTTAACCCGAATTCACTGTTCTGATGCGACATTAATAATAGGCGATAATGTATTTATGAGCCACTATACCATTTCAACTTCAATTTCGGAATCGGTGAGTTATATTTCGGAAAAAGTCATCTCTGTTTCAGAATTGTTAGGTCGATTTCAGAAATGGTAAACTCAATTTCAGAATCGGTGAGATGAATTTCAGAAAAAGTCCATTCAATTTCAGAAATGGTAAGTTGTATTTCAGAATTATTATTGGTAGGTTCAATTTCAGAAGATGAAATCCTTTTATATGTTTGAAATGTTTTTAATTGCAAAAGAGAAGATTGTTTACAGTGGATGGAACGGTGTTTGAGAGTCCTATGTTGAATCAGATAGAACATATATGGGGTGCCTTCAAGTCAGAAGTGAAGAGCTTCTTGCAAGAGCATCGCCAAAGGGTCATAGCTGGAGATCCGAACAGATTGCTCAACCAGATAGAATTCAGACTGCGATGTCTTGAAGAATGTGCAGATCATTCAATGAAAATGATAACACCTCAAATGTGTTTGCATTCTTATAATCATGTGCAACGCCACTATCTTCCAGCGATTCAGATGGAAGGCATCTGTGGATTAAATTGTTTTTGAAAAGTTGAATATTTCAAATATGGTTTGTTAATCTCACATGCAATTGGAAACATTTCGAACAAATACAAGGATTTTTTTTATGATATTGAACCTACCAATTCTGAAATACAACTTACCATTTCTGAAATTGAATGGACTTTTTCTGAAATTCATCTCACCGATTCTGAAATTGAGTTTACCATTTCTGAAATCGAACTAACCAATTCTGAAATCGAGATTACTTTTTCCGAAATATAACTTACCGATTCCGAAATTGAAGTTGAAAAGGTATAGTTAATAAAATGAAAAAACTATCTTGCTAGTGAAATACAAGTTCACCACAAGAAAAGAAGTATTAGGTAATGATCGGTTCTAGGAGTAGTGATAGAAAAATAACTATTACCCTATTATGGCGGCATAGTGAGCAGTTCCGATTAATAAGGGGGAAATAACAATTATAACATGGACAACATTCGCAAATTCTTATATAAAAAGAGGTAATAAACAACAAGGTGAAGAATAAGATGGTATTTTATTTCCTGTATTGATATAGTTCAAAAAAAGATGATCCTGTTCATTATAAAAATAAATACCTAGGACAATAAATCAATTGCATTAAAATAACACTCAAACTTTCAATTTCTGCATGGAAAAACATGAATATGCTAAAGAAAAAAACACATTTATTATAGTAATAACTCTACTCTATTCTTTAGTCTTTACAATAGTGCAACTTTGTTTATATTCTATTATAACCTATACCACTTGAAATTGATCTCGCCTCATAAATAAATAGTAATTAATAGGTACAGATCTCGAGTATAACCCATCCAATCATCAAAAATGCTCAGCTTTTCCTCTGTCTGAAGTGGTCAATTACATGAATAAAAAATATAATGTCATAAATTTGGTTACTTTACTAAAGTCCGTAATCCATACACAATCTATTTATATACAACTTTCATTCCTTCACATCCACCTTTTTCTGTGCACTTCTCTCGGCACGAGAGGCACTAGCCGATGACATGTCTGGATCTAAAAAAAATTACCCAATTTCAAATTTGGCAACGCCGGCTGCAAATTTCGACCGTTATTTGATAACGAGGTGTAATAATGTCCCAAAGGCATGTAAAATAGTTATTCATTATACAAGGGGGGACAACACAACCTTGAGCTAAAATATTAAATCTTTCCTGTGAATACTTGAGTTCCTAAATATACGTGACACTGCTGTTTTGACGTTTTTTGTCTATCAGAGTACTGACACTATGACAAGCACTGACAATCAGACATAACCACAAATAAATTGATGGAAGAAGCGGGACAGTACACGGACGTACAGTTGTGTGCATAAAGAAGTCGTACAAGGTTTGTATGGTGTAAACCTGCCTATGATATTCCAGATTTCATTTAAAATTAGTACACGTACACATTTGCGCGTTACTTACAAAAATAGTTTGAATTTTGACACTACTTGTCACAGTCGACAAGCAGATTAATCAAGATTGACAAGTCTGACTCACAATAGCCTATAACTGCTGTACGACCTGTTTATGCACACAACTGTACATGACATAAATATCGAAGGTTTGACTAATTGAGAGAATTGGGAGAAATATGCGGGTTTGCGCAGTTTCCAACTGTGAGAACACGGGAAATCAATTCACTTTATTCGAATTTCCATCGGATAACGTAATTCTACAAAAATGGAAAAAGAATATGATGCGGCCGAAATGGAATATAGGTTCAGGCCACAAAATTTGCGAGGTATTCAAATTTCTTGATAGGATATAGACATTTTTCAACGCATTTCTAACAGGTACACTTCAGAAAGGAAGATTTGATGTTGAAGAATAGGATCGTATTGAGAGAAAGAGCCGAACCCACAATTTATAAACTGAGCGAGTATCGAAAAAAACCTTATTCCAATTTAGAACCGACAAGAAACGAAAAACTTGCAGATGATGAAATTCATTTCGAACATATTTTGAAAGAAAAATGCATGAGAATCGAATTTTCAGAGTAGGAATATTGAAAAATCCAAGGTTCACGATTGAAAGAGAGTGAGGAATTCAGGAAACAAATAGAATAAAAACATAGAGTTGGAAAATAAGTCTGAATGTGCATGTACAAGCGTTGTTAAGAAATGCTAGACGACTACATAGCTCCTAGTGGATTTTGAACCACTTCTTGGGTAACAAGATAGCAAGATATCATCAGAGCACAGAACAAGAACGCTTAATGAATGCACCATTTATGTTAGATATTGAAAATGATCTTCCGATGGCCGTGTGCAAACCAACAATCCTCTTCAGTAATGTGAACGGCGATAGTGAGTCGAGCGCTGAAGTCCATTTATACCTACTTCCGAATGTCTTGGAGAACCTTTATTATTTATCCTAACTGAAATCATCTGTTATTGTTGCCATATCATGTGTTCATTCATTAATTACTTATTATCTACCACTCTTGTACAAGTGAAATTGTTCCATACGAAATAAAACTATGTTTCATTGATTGGAATTTATCAGTTTTTACCCCATTCTGAACTTTTGTGATAAAAAAATATTCAACTGAACGTATATTTATACCTACATATAAGATACTCATTCCATGGGAATAGTATATGTATGTCGTTGGTATATATGTACATACCAACTTGATATCGACTTCCATTGAGGTCCTTCAGCCGTATCATTCAATGTTTCGAGAAGAAATAATTTTCTAATCAATTTATCGTACCCTTTTACCCACTCGAGGAGACGCTATGCACTCACACACAAAAATCAAAGACAGAGAAAGATATATGGATGTACTCTTCCCAGGACTTGTGGAGGAAGGAAGATGCGAGGCTCCTTTGTATAATCGAAAAACATATTCATGTCCTTGTCTGTCAGGCAAAACATATGATTTGCTTCAAAATCGTTTGTGGTTATGTTTGATTGTCACTGCTTGTCTAGTGTCCGTACTCCGCTACGTTCAGCGGCAGATCTCGACCACCGTAGTCGGACCACAACAAGCATAGGAGTTCTGAACGACTTTGTCCATGCATTTGTGTTTTTAGTATTTAGTATCTGTCAAACGACTTTGTCCATGCATTTGTGTTTTTAGTATTTAGTATCTGTCAAAGTTGGAAATTTTATTTGTGTCAAGTGAAAAGTGTACAGAAACAGAAGAAAAGGATTGGAAAAACTGTTGTATTTTCCTACAAAACCAATAATGCTGTTGATGAAAATGAATTTGAACACTTGGTAAATTGAGAGTTTGATATAATTTCTAACTTTCAATAAAAATTGATGTTATTTGTTATTTTCCAGGTAATAATGTTGGAATAAAACAAAATTAGGTGTTGTAGTTGTATTAATTATTATTACTGATATGTGATAAATTTTGTATCTTTATACTGTTTACACTTCAGCACAAAGTAATATCTCTCGAACTTGCTGGCCATTTTGTTATCTCACCCGCGAAGAGATTCGTTCAAATTCAAATGGATTTGCGTGTCATAAATCCATGTCAAATATAACTGACGTTTACTGACGGAAACAATGATTTAGACCATGCTCGGCATCATTTTAAATGAGACTACGTGGACCATTGTAAAGGAGGCGATGGCGGCCCACCTGAGGATGCGGGACAATAACAGGACATGCAAAAATAGCAGAGTGGGTGGAGCAGGAGATTCCTATCTCTACTCTCAGAGTGAATAAAGCGCAGGACAGGCTGAGATGGAATAGGAAGTTCAAACTTACTATTCCAAGCAGAGAAGAATGGAGAAATAATACAGTGGAGTTTCGTCCAGGAAGCTTAGTATGCTATACAAACGGATCCCGTCTGACTGACAAACAGGCATCGGGCGCAGGGATCTATATCGAAGGTAGGGTCCCTTGATGGAAATTGACGTTAAAGTCATCTTAACAGGGTACGGACAGATCCTCGTCTCCTCTCACTCTAAAGCGTTTGTGAAACAGTTATATGGCTCCATCCTTATTCAATTCTGGGGATAAACACTAGATTTTTGACATTCGTTGTTTTTTATGTTATATTGAGGTCACTGGCGTATCATACGTAATTTCCATATGGAATTCCTGGTTCAATACTATACCAAGATATATATGAACAATCCTCTAGTTTTAGAGTTTACTACTCCAGCATAATCTTTGCGAGGTAGGGAACATATAAATTGTACTGAAAGATCATAATGTATTTCACCAGAAGAAACTGTTCTTAGACTGTATACCAGGGTTGACTGAATTGACTGAATGAATTCTGATTTCAAGCTGAGCAGTAGTTTATCTATGAGCTGAATGAGCAGAGCCTTATGATTGAGAAATGGTGGAAACCTCGATGTGGGTATCTAAACTACTGTAGGTACTCATGTCATATGTGCTAAATATATTTTCGGAAATCCAACTCGGAGAATTCATGGAGTACATTATGTATAAAACTTCGTCTAGGACGAAAAGTAGGCTGATAAAAAAAATACGTAAAATATGTAGGAAAATGAAGAATAGAATATACTTTACCCCATTTTTCCGTCTCCCTTGGATAAAAAGTCATTTTCGAATAATTTATTAATGAAAGTAACAAAGAAGTAGGTATGCGCAGTATAACTTATAGGCACGCTATTTTCACTCTTGCATCCTACATATTTTCTATTTGTGGTAGAGTAATTATTTTATAAACTAATGTCTTTCGCCATATTGGATCCGTCATCTTGAATTCTCCAATTTTTACGATACAATCATTATCTCAATCATTAATAGAATCGGATTTTCATTACAAAACTCGTCCACCATATTGGATCCTCCATCTTGAATATCCCAATTCTGACGAAATAATTATAATCTCCGACCCCGGAAATCCCCAGATACCAATTTTGATTTTTATTGGATCCGCTATCTTGAATTTCCCAATCTTAACAAAAAATCATAAATTTTGACCCCGAAAACCCTCAGATATTAATCTCAAATAGAATCAGATCATAATTAGAAATTACTTTCGCTATATATTGGATCCGTCATCTTGAATTTTCCAAGTTTGACGAAATAATCATTATGTCCAACCCCGGAAAACCCCAGATATCTTTCAATTTAGAATAGGATCGGATCATAATTACAAAACTCGTTCGCCATATGATCTTCCTCAACAAGTAAATACCCTGTACATACCTATTATTAAAATTTAGAATGATTTTTTGTAGCGCTCATGGATATGCCGTGACAGCAATGTCAGGGATGCCAGTAGACAAAACTAAAGTCTCTAGATCATTAAAAAAGAATGCAGCTATGATCTGTCCGTACCCTGTTAGATGACTTTAACGTCAATTTCCATCAAGGGACCCTAATCGAAGGAAGAAACATACAAGAAAGCTACGCTCTAGGAGAATACACCACAGTTTTCCAAGCTGAGGTGTTCGCCATCCTGGTCGTAGCAGAGAGGCAAGAGGTGAAAGAGGGACCAGAGCAGAAGATCTACATCTGTTTGGACAGTCAGGCAGCACTCAAGGCTATCTGTCATCCCAGACCAAACTCAGCATTGGTACAGGAATGTGGAAATGCCCTTGAGATATTAGCAGAATCAAAGGAAGTTGAACTGGTATGGGTCCCGGGTCATAGTGGGGTGCCCGAAACAGATTATGTCATATTATGTCATACTATCTATTCTGAAATTATTAATTAATTTTCGAATATATCAACGACATATCGTTCATCAGTTCATCCGGAAGAAAAGAGTTACATCTCAAAAAACATCATTTTTCAGAAGAAGCATTTTGATATTGGTTGAAATTTCAATTGACTCCATCTTCTCAATCGTATGGTCGATACTGACTGTTTTTTGAGCAAACTATCATCCATTAACCCTCTGGAGGTCAACATATTATCAGCTCTCGATAATGAAAAACTATCGGGAAATTAACTGATGTATCTCTCTTGAATCCAAAACTGTCACCATATCTTCATGATTGTCAATGTTACACAAAATTGAATCTTGGTTAATAAACGGGCTTGAAACTTGATATTCCATCATTGAAAAAATCTACATTCTTGATAATCTTAATAATACAATGAGAAACATCAAAACTTATCAGTGAAACTGAACACATTGTTTTCTTTTACAGATTTTTATAAAAATTGTAAAACATCAGCACACATTCCTTCTTTTGAATCAAAGAAATCAATCCATTTTTATTCACTTCTGTGACTCCAGGTGTTTTTGAATAGGTGGGCTCGAAATTTATATTCACGATGTCTAGTTTTCTTCTAGTATTCAGAATCCAAGCTTTATCAAACCCTTGCTGGTCGTAAGTATGATATCTTATAAAATGCAACACATTGATTTTCTTTGTCCAATTTGAGAACTCTTATATCGAACAATATTTTGGTATGTTCACATATGAATCAGCTGCCATTCTTTTGATGTCGTTGAAGTCCTGTGGGGTACCAGTTTTTTTAGCGGTTCGTATGATGCTTGCATACTGATCTGGAGAAAAAATTGAACCAGTTTTTTTGAATTAACTTATTTCCCACTCAATAGTTGCGTGAAAGATATCGCCTTCATTCTTAATTCTTCAACCTTGTTGGTAAATCATCAGTATTATTTTTCATCACAAATTAAAATCAAACAAATCTGGAAACATTTGATATAAGTAATATTATTTTCGAGCGAATACAGTTACATCACTGAACAAAAAGGTAACCTAAAACAATATTGAAGTGGAAAAATATGTCGAAAATAGATACAACTAAAAAAAATACTCTCTTTCTAATTAAATTTTTAGTTGTAACTCTCTTCTTCCGGATGAACGATATCTTACAGAATGCATTTTTTCATCAAGTCGTTCGATTTGTCGTTACATATTAGGATAACGATAGTTGTTATCTAACGACTCGTAAAATATCGACTTTTTACTGAATAGTCTGTAAAACAAAACCAAAATTCACCTACTTTTACTGGTACCCGCAGTGCCGCTTTTGCCCTCTTTGCCCGCCCCGTTCGTCGACTTGGCCGGCTGCGGGATGATCGTTATCTCGTCGTTGATCTTCAGCGGCTTCAGCTGCTCCGACTTGACGGCGGCGACGGCGCCGGGCGACGACGTCGCGGCGGCCGTCGTCTTCTTGTCCATGACGCGTTTCGCGACCACGCTATGAGCGGAATAGACGTGGTTCTCGAACTGCTTGTACATGCCGAAGGTGGCCGTGCACACGGTGCACTTGTAGGACAGGTGGGCCGGCTTCAGGGTCATGTTGTGATCCCTGGCCACGTGATTGAGGAGTTTCCATTGGTATACCTAAGGAAGCGGGAAAATCGCTTTCTTTATAATTTTTAGCTACTACCAATATGTGTAAGATGAGACATTATTACAAAGATTTTAGTCTCTCAATGATATTTTCCCTTTCCGCACTAGTGCGGTGAAGTTGAAATAGTAGATCGTTTTATTAGGATCATGTGACACTTTATTTGACAAGCTTCGCTAGACGCTCTGCCTCGCAAATGCAAAATTTGGATGCCTCATTTCAGGTCATATGGAATTCGTGCGCGAAACACACACTTCCGCAAACGGGACACCTCCCCGAATCCTTTTTTTGTTTTTTTTTCGAGTGGTTCATTGAAAAAAATACTGTGAAGGAATTTACTATTGGAGCCGATAGTGATTCGCTATTTCAATGATGTTTTTAACAAGGATCGGCTAGAGAGCGAGCGAAGATCTCGACAATAAATTGTCTGTAAACTTGTTATCGCACGGAATATTTGTTGCGCCAAGTCTTTTTGTGTCCAGTCACTGGATGCCTCATTTTACAAAGGGTTATAAAGATAAACTTAGAAAATTCATACTAGATGGAAATCTGAAAAAATGAAAATTCTTGCTAGTTTGTTTCAATTTTACAACTCTAAGAAAGATACCATGAGTAATGTTTTTAATTTTCTGTTCGTCTATTGTTTTAAAATTAGTGTTTTTTTTTGTATCCTGTTTTGTTAATTTTTTTATTTCTTTTTACCAACAGGTGCATATGTAAATATGCTATGCATACTATGTACGTTTTGTAACAGATTCGATATACAGGGTCAGTCAATAGTGTTCTCCTTCTATATTAGCCAATCTGTCAGATATATAGAAAAAAATTGAATACAACAGTTATAGGGTTTCTTGGGAACTATCACCTAAAATTATTTTCATATCTATAGGGTGTTCGAATTCCAAAATATCGGTTGATGATGGGTGTTTTCAAATGAGACACCCTGTATATTATTACATTTTCAGATTCTTCCTTAAGAGCTGATTTCATCAAAGTATCGCACTTGGGGACTAGCTGAAATGTTCATAGAGATATAGTGTTCAAATTCTATATTTTTCAACTTTGTGATTTTTTTGTGTTGAAACTATTTATTATTGGTCAAAACGGCTTACATGTCCCTATCTCAACTTTCGATCCACCATCTACTGACACTTAATTGGAACAAATACAGGGTGGTTCAAAATTCAAGATTTCTGATCACCCTGTATCTATACCAATTAAATTTCAGTAGTGAATCAAAAGTTGAGATAGGGACATGTAACTCGTTTTGATCGATAATGAATAGTTTCGACACAAAAAAATCCTAATTGAAAAATCACGATTTTGGACACACTATATATCTGTAGTCATTCCTGCTAGACCCCAAGTGTGATACATTGATGAAATCAGCTCTTCAGGAAAAATCTAAAAATGCAATAAAATACAGGGTGTTTCAATTGATACAAAAAAGTTGCTAGTTGTTTCTGATAGAAGTGGCAACACTGTATCGATGAAAATATTTTAGACGGATAGAGAATGTTCAACTATCAAAGCATCCCAATTTTCAGGATGTTCTGTCTTTTCGTTCTCCAGATACTTCTAATAGGCCATCCACCGTGGATCACCCTGTATATTATATACCTATATAATGTTTTTTTTTGTTGCAATAATAGTATATTATGTAACAAGTGTTATAAACGTCCTTTTAGTAAAGGCAGGAGCGGAGCAGAGCGGAGCAAGTGTGTAATAAACGAGTGTCTAGAAGAGTTTTATTAAACGCGTTACATACTATGCTTTTTCTACGAACTCCGAAAATTACATCATTATACCTGCTATTCCTGCTAACCTACAAAATAATTCGAAAGGAATGGGTATTGAGAACATAATACATGCAACTGCATGCAACCAGCAAGACAAGTATAAGTGATATTGGTTGTAGATGTGTCCAGTCCATTGCTAATTTATTGTCATGCTTATCGCAGGATAAATAAATTGTTCTCAAAGATGGATGCTTCATTTTCACACTTCTTGAAGATATGCAAGTACCAAAACATTCTCTGCGCTTTCACTTTCGTCTACATTTTGCATATATTTTTAATGAAGAATTCTGATGCAAACGGAAATTGTTTGAATAATTCTGATACAAAATCGAAAATGAAAGTTGACAATTCCTACAATTGACAGGCCAGACATGTCTCAAATTAGTGAAGCTGTGTTTAATGAACTGTGTTGCCCTGGTAATGTGTTCAAGAAATCGTGTTGCCATGGTAACGAGTTTAATATTTTGAATAAATCACAGATCGTCCATCCGTGATTAATCGATCATTTAGCGTGGTACATATCCGTACGCTGAATGCCATTTCAGTTATGTGAGTAGAAAATAGTAGATTGTTTTATTAGGATCAAAAGTGACACTTTGTTTGACAAGCGAATTTTGCATTTGCGAGGCGGAGCGTCTAGCGAAGCCGAGCGAAGCCGAGCGAAAGCAAAATTTGCGAGTCGAACAAAGTCACTTTTGATCCGAATGAAACATGCTATTTTTTCTGCAACCGAAACAATTAACTCAAATAAATATGTGAAGTAACCACCAATGCCGTGCCATATGTATGCAATGCAACAAATATTGACAAATAATCCATGTGGTGAGAATATTCTACCTGCATTAACAGCAGGTTAGGTTTTCTAGGATGTTCGAATTGTAGTGTCAATATGAATACAACCACAGAGTGACATATTTGTGTATGGACCAGATGGTCTAATGGCAAATACCGCGTCAGTGCCAGGTATAGGAACAAGAAAATGTTAGGTTAGTGAGCATATTAACAATGATAATAGTGATTATTTATTCCTCTCCATACTACACTGTGTTTGACTTGATAATCAAATGAAGCTAAACAATATCGTTGTTTGAGACAAAAAAACGATTGCTTGCCGTGATTATTCAGAAACAAGTTATCCATCCCGAGAATAACGAATGAAATACAGACCAAGCAAGTATTTGAATCTTGAAGGCTTCCCTGATCAAAACAAAAATACTCAACTGAGATGTTTATAATTCCAATACTAAACTATAATAAGGTGTATTTATATCTACAGCATGGGTATAAAATGCCAAATCTGCTGAAATCGGAAACAAATCAGGTATGCGTCTCAACCCAAATAACCAACCGTCACATGTTGTTTATTCTTGATGACGTCCAGTAGATCCTTTTTAGTTCCTAGGAGCTAAAGTTCAACTTTAGCTCCTAGGAACTAAAATTCAACTTTAGCTCCTAGGAACTAAATATGTTGCCTAGCAACATACCTATTTTTGTGTCAGTAATAGAAACGTCAATTTAAGAGCTAACTTTGGTATCAAAATGGACGACTTTTGTGTCGGTTGCAGAAAAACGTTATTATTATTATTTCATGTCAGATTGAATTCGTGCGCGATGTTATGATTTCTTAGTATAACATTATTCTAAATTTTATATGTATAGTAATTTGTAATGATTTTTCCTTATATTTGATATTAGCTTTTACTCTTCCTTCCCTGGTTAAGTTGAAAAACAGCTATACAGGGTGTCCCATAATTAGCCTGCCAAACTTCTTCAGCGACTTCTACGACCAAAAATAGATAGAAAAGTTCGAATGAACATAGGTCTCAAAATGGCTCCTAAGGGAGCTACGGCCACCTTAAAGGGGGCTTCTGAAGATGGTATTTCCTGAATATTTCCGAAACGCCGTGAGATAAAATGATGAAATTTGGTACAAGAACTAAACTTTTCATGCTCAATGCAGTGGAGATAAAATGATTTCAAAATTTGATTAATGAGTATTTGAAACAGGTGGAGCTACTCTAAATATCACCCTAATTTTTTTGTATGCAATTTTTCGACGATTTGGTCTCGGATTATGAATATCTGAACATTTTTACAAAAGAAAGGTACTCTTGTTCCATGTTGATCAGATGAACCATTTTCGAGTAAAATCGATTTAAAAATATCAATAAATCTCAAGAATAACGCACAATATTGCAATATCAAATCATAGTGGCTATGGCAATACTAATTAATACATTATACTTGAAGAACGCCATTATTGCATGATGTCCTCGATATGAATATGCGAAATCTTATTATTGGTCATAGAAATTGTTCGAATAAATTTCCATTGTTATGAATGCATAATCTCGCTCGACGACTTATTGCGCTTGTGGCTCTCAGAATTTGAAAGCGATTTCCTCTGAGTTCACTTGCTGCCAACTCTATTCGTTGAAGTTATTCTTCATGTGTGTTCACCTCAGTTTTATAAACCAACTCTTTCATATGACCCCATAAATAATAATCTAGAGGGTTCAGGTCCGGTGAACGTGGTGGCCAAAGAATGGGACCATTACGACTATCCACCTTCCAGGAAAAATCTCACTCAACCATGCCCTAACGCGCTTTCCATAATGTGCTGGAGCCCCGTCGTGTTGGTAATACATATTTTGCCGTACATTGAGAGGCACATCTTCCAAAAGTATGCCTAGGTTATTCTGAAGAAAGTTATGATACCCATCAGCATTCAGGCGGTTGGGTAGGACGACAGGACCAATTAACTGATCCCCTATCATTCCTGCCCATGTATTTACAGAGAAACGATGTTGAAAATTAGAACGTCGGACCACTCTGGGATTATCATTTGCCCATACATGGGTGTTGTGCGGATGAATTCCTTGAATTTGTAATATTCTCCCTATCTGAAATCAATCAACTGTTATTTCATTGCCAAACTCACATTCCACATTACTGTTGCCCTAGGCACGTTAAAATTTCTGGATACAGTCCTTATACTAATGTTCGGATTATTATCGATGACATTCAGAATATTCTCCATGTTATGTCCTCTTAAAGGTCTTCCTTGCCCAGGAACACGTTGAAAATTGCCATGATCACTCAAGTTTCTATGAGTATTAACGAATACTTGTCGCCCAGGTATTCTTCTGTTCGGAAATCTCCTCCGATATTCTCGCTCAGCCTCTCGTGCATTGCCATTACAAAATCCGTACAAAAAATGTATGTCTGCATATTCCTGATTTGTGAATTGTGGCATTTTGTAACAATACAATGTACATTCAAATATCAATTGCTTAGTGTGTTCTGCAAAACATGCGTGTCAACAAATATGACAACTATCAAAACTAACTGTTACCCTTTTTTTTTCCATAGCCACTACGATTTGATATTGGCAATATTGTGCGTTATTCTTGAGATTTATTGATATTTTTAAATCGATTTTACTCGAAAATGGTTCATCTGATCAACATGGAACAAGAGTACCTTTCTTTTGTAAAAATGTTCAGATATTCATAATCCGAGACCAAATCGTCGAAAAAATGGCATACAAAAAAATTAGGGTGATATTTAGAGTAGCTCCACCCTGTTTTAAATACTCATAAATCAACTTTTGAAATCATTTTATCTCCACTGCATTAAGCATGAAAAGTTTAGTTCTTGTATCAAATTTCATCATTTTATCTCACGGCGTTTCGGAAATATTCAGGAAATACATCTTCAGAAGCCCCCTTTAAGGTGGCCGTAGCTCCCTTAGGAGCCATTTTGAGACCTATGTTCATTCAAACTTTTCTATCTATTTTCGGTAGTAGAAGTCGCTGGTGAAGTTTGGCAGGCTAATTATGGGACACCCTGTATAGCTGACACTTCGCCTTTTTATCATTTGTTCTTCTTATTTCACTGTTCTCTATTTTGTATGTAGAAATTATAATGATGAATAAAGCCGCTTTATTATTATTATTATTATTATAAACTCACCCTTCCGCACACGGGACACCTTCCCGAATCCTTGCTCTTGTTAGCAGCATCTTGCATGCTGCTGGTCACCAGACCGTGCGAGCCCAACAAATGCCTTTCCAATCCCTGATCGGTAAAGAACCGGAACTGGCACTTCTGGCAGTTCAACGGCGGCCGGTTGTAGATCATCTTCGGGTGGATCTTGATCTTGTGGATCCACTGCATGTGGTTCCTGAGCTGCTCGAGGTCCTTGATGTACCCGTCGCAGATCTCGCAGATGACGAAGGCGTTCTTGGAGGCGGTGTCGCCCGGCTTGGCGGGGGAGGCGACCGCCGGCGCCGGCGAGACCGTGGAGGCGGCGGCGCCGCGGGGGAGCGGGGTGATGGATATGCTCGGCTGCTGTTGGCCGGATTTCTTCGATTGGTTCTGGAAGGACGGACGAGTTGGTTGACGCAAAAGTGGAAGAATTTACGAGTGAAGGGAGGAAAATGTAGCTCTTTTATGAACTTGACACCATTGTTTTTCATGTTTTCGTATATTTAGAGCAGTGGTTCTTAACCGGTGGTCCTTGGAAGCACCCAAAGGGGTCCGCGAAGCCATCGGAAAAATATTGAATAAGTGACATTATAGTGACAAGCGGACGGATTCTCAATTTGAAATACAAGTCACTTAACCCATTTAATCCCAAGTATACGAAAAATATGATAACATGTGTTTTAGACAAAAAATATTTATTATCTTACATTCTGAAATGAGTTTTCGTGATCATCGACAGTGGAAAAAACTAACTTCACAAAAAATTACAATGGTTCATACACGCACCACTGGCAAGAAAAGTAAGAAAATATATTTTTTTTAATCTTCGAAAAACTAGTTCCAGTCATTAAATAGTTGGGCCCCAATGAGTTGAAAATAAGCTAGGTGATCTCAATTTGCTCATTGGTGCACGAACGAACCACTTGTAGGAAGTAACAATCAAATAATCTATGTTTGGTGATATTTTGCGAAGCATGATACGTGCAAATGTTCGTTACATTATTGACAAATATAAATTGGGTGATTATGACAAACTCTACATCTTCTTTGAGCTTTATTTCCATGAGGTATAAGAATATGGCCAAGGTTATGGAAACAAATTTCAGCAACAGGGCGAGGTATATTTCTCACAACGTATACTGTCTCATTTTTCAAAGAGACGTAGGGCAACGTATGATCTGAATTCAATTTGTGACATTTTGGTTTGATTAGCCACATTATAGAGCTTCCAAGCATTGACAATTATACTATCTAGAGCATTGCGAAACATGGGCCACCACCATGCATTTCTTCCCCAACACTCTACATCTATAATTTGCAATACCATTATCATGGAGGTCCATCCCATGGAATTATGGCGCCCAAAAGTCCCTAATTCTTGTGCAAAGCATAGATCTAAATATCTATGTGCAAAATAAGCACAAGCAATGGATGTAGTGTACTCAAAGGATGTAGTGTCCTGAAAAAAACGTCATCTTACTGAAAATATATAGAATATTATCAATTTGCCTCAGTTTACGAATTCATCGGAATTTAAGGCAATAATTAAATTAGATAACTGATTCTCGTTGTAATTTGTGAATCGAGGAATCAAACCGAAAACTATAACACGTCAACTCAAACTCACCGAACTTACCAGATAAAATCCACGGTTGTTCTGGGGACAGCGAATCTACCGCTTTTTCAGCAACCGAGTTCCGTAAATAACTTTTTTTTAGGTACCAACCGAACATTTCATATTTACGGAACGGAAAACTACTAACCATAATCTCCAAGTTGTTCCGTATGTCTTGGAGAATCTTTATCAATGCTATTTCTTACTATGTATATATTATCCTGTTATGGTTGCCATATCGTTTGTTCATTCAACTACTCATTGCCTACCACTCTGGTACAAGCGAAAATATTAAATATGAAATAAAAATGTGTTTCATCGGTCGTAATAATTCATCAATTTTCACCCCATTCTGAACTTTTGTGCTACAAAAATTATTCAACTGAACGTATAAGTAAGTAGGGGGATACTTGACCTTTCAGTTCATCATCATTTCATAGTAATATTATATTTCCCCACTTTTTTAAATGTTCAACGTTCGTTTTTAATTTAGGTAGTTTCGGAAGTAATTTTAATCTTTCCATTATTAATTTTAGGTGTGTACTATTATGTGATAAAGCCTGTTGTTTTAGCAGTATAAATAAATGATTTCTGATATTTACTTCGTTGGTATATACATACATACAACTGGTCATCGACCTCCACCAAGGTCCTTCAGCCCTATCATTCCATATTTCAAGAATCAAGAAGTAATAATTTGCTATTCAATTCATCGGACCCTCTCTCCGACCCTCCATTAAAAAATGAAAGACAAAGATAGATATGTGGATGGACACTTCCCTGAACATGTAGAGGAAGGAAGAAGCGAACAACATATTATTGTCCTTGTCTGGCATAAAATTTGATCTACTTCAAAATCGTGTTTGGTTATGTTTGATTGTCACTGCTTGTCGAGTGTCCGTACTCTAATTTACAAAAACGTCAAAACAAGTGTCAAGCGCATAAAGGAACTCTAGAACAATGGAGGAGTCCAGAGAAATAAAGGACTAGAATGGCGAATGCATCGTAGGTGGATAGGATTTTTTTGATTTCTTCATCAATTTTTATATAAATGTAAGAAATGCATATATGTGTATAACTTAATGGCTGATATGAATCAAAATTTGTTCTAATGGTTAAACCAGAGTACACACATGTATGTTAAACGGATATTTTTATTATCTCAAATTGAAGATTATTTCATAACTGATTCATATTTTTTTTAGAATCCAGATTCTTCATAATAATGGTAAACTGAGAAAAGCGAATTATGAACTGGATACCACTGAATGTTTTCCTGATTCTAGTGGAATTATTCAACACAATGATATCTTATCACCGTTCCAATGCATTTGTATATAAATTGTTTCAAATTTCCGACAGATATTTTGCAAATTCTCGTCGGACAAAAATGACGAAACCATTGGCAGGAACTTTTAGTTTGAGTTTTGGAACCAAAAATTTGAATTCATAAACAAACAATTTCCGAGATAATAAAGTTGTTCCCTTTTCTTCACTTATGATTTATACTGGACCACATGTTAGTATGAATATTCTTCGGATCTTATATGGTAAACGGATGGTTATCAGATTCTTATGAAATTTAATTCAGGAGATTCACTTATAGAATATCTCGACTTTAGTGAAATTTATTTGGGTTGCAAAACGTCAAGTTTATTATATTAGGAGCTATCTGGATAGTAATTTTTTTTTTCAATTCCTTGAAAATTGTGGAATAATCACTTCGTAATAAAAATAATTATGATATTTATTCAAAGATAACTGTGAATCACTCATTCTACTCTTCGCCATTCTACTCTTAATTTCCATGTACCAGCCTAATCAACCTAAAAGCTCCCCTTGTTAATCAATCAACACAACATAGCATTAGAAGAAACTCAGCTTCATCATTTTTTTAGTGACGAGTAATTTCATCAGTATTGACGCTCAATACCGAAATACAGGATGCATAAAAAGGGTTATGTGAGACAAAAAATAAGGCGCATTAAAGAAATGTTGAATAAAAAAAAATACCACCAATATGCTCCACAAAAGTTTCAATCCATGATGAAATTCTAATAAATATTCCTTTCAAACGAAAGAGTTCTGAATCCAGACCTTCCTAGACATAAAAAAGATTCTGAAATGATTTCAATTAGTACTTTGAAGTGTGACTAACAAATAAGGGAAACTCACATCAAATGATCAAAGCAGCTGAAAAATAGTTTATATATCATTTTTGAGGAAAACTTTACCAACCAATACTCTGTTCAACATTTTGTGGGAATCCAACTGATACATAACTAGATTTATCAATTTATTAATCTAATACCAGGTTATGTATCATTTATTCCATTCAGTAATGGTTGTTTGCATTATTCCAACTCAATATTCAATTATGAATATTTTACGAAAATCTTGGGGAGCATCACATCAAAGACTAGTTTTCAATTCGAGCGCTGAACATAAAACAGATAACGGATCTGGGATGCTCGAATTCGTTTTGCCCCAACATCCCGATAGACCAATCAGAACGATCGCATGCACACTCCTTCCGATTGGTCTATACGAATCGCCTCGACGGATGTCCGGGCAAAACGAATTCTCGCATCGGCATGTTCGACCCGTCGTACCTGAATGGCCATTGTGCTAGAGGCGGAAGGCATGTTGGGAAGAAAGACGTGACCAGGATTACCCAGCCGGCCGCTCAACTCTTGTCCTCCCACCACCTATCACACACCAAGTCATTCATCGAGAACCGACACTGGCAGAAGTTGTTCAATGAGGTTGTTCATTTCGTCAATTTCCAATGAATTCAGATTATGACACGGTTGGAACAATGTTTTCAAACTAACCGAAGATTAAGCCGAATATTTTTGGGGATATTCGATGTTGATTGTCTCGAACATCTCATTTCACGACCTTTAGAGAGTCACCACTGACATTTCCGAATTGTCATAATTATCGGTTTGAAACATCAGTTCTACAAATTGAATAGGCTTCCCCCCGAATATGTTTTAGAATTCATCTTGTTCGATCAAGAATTGCAAAAATTTTAAGAATGATGGTTAACATTTATATGAGTTACACAAAGATGAGACGACATTTCAAGTGTTCTTAGAAGCTTCAAATTCCAATAATCATTTCATGGAAAATCATGTCATTGACATAATATCGATATAACTACATAATGAGCATTTCCAATAATAATATGTCCTCTAACCAAGGAAGATGGAACACTAGCCACAACTGCCCAGGAGAAAGCCAACATTTTTGCGCATTTATTTGCTGGAAATTCCACTCTGGATTCATCGGGAAAACAACCTCCAAACATAACGCCAATTGACAGTCATATGCCCGAGTTCACCTTTCGCCAACGTACTATAAGGAAGATTTTATTGGGTCTCAACACCAACAAAGCTTGTGGCTCCGTCGGAATCCCACCGATTGTTCTCAAGAAATGTGCTCCCGAACTAAAACCTGTTCTCTGCAAGTTGGGGAAATTTCCATCCAACTGGAAAATTGCAAGAGTACAACCAGTTCCTAAAAAAGGCAAAAAGATCCTACCTAGCACCTACAGACCGATCGCACTGCTATCTATTAATTCAAAGATCATGGAGAATGCTATCAACTTCGAGCTCATGAAATACCTGGAACATTCAGGTATTATCAACGATAGGCCATATGACTTGCGTCATCAGAGATCAACTGGTGACCTGCTCGCTTACGTCTCACATATATGGCAGCATCTATTGAAATATATGCTGAAACCTTAGCCGTGGCACATGATACCTCCAAGGCATTCCATCGACTCTGGCACCACGGACTCCTCGCCAAGCTTTCATCTTATAGCTTGTCTCCCCAGCGATGTTCTCTGCTAGCTAGTTTTCTCTCAAACAGGTCTCTCCATGTAGTGGTCGACGGAGTTTCATCTGACTCTCTCATCATAAATGCTGGTGTTCCGCAAGGATCAATTCTAGCAACAACACTATTTCTACTCCATATCAACGATTTGTTGGAAGCAGCTTCATGTCCAGTACAGCTTCGCGGATGATAGTACCCTCCATACCGCCTTCTCTTCTAGGGCTCCAATACCAGCCAGGCAAATCAGAAACGAACGAGGAAGAAATGTTGACAACATAAATATGGACTTGGCAATAATTCTCGAATGGGAATCCAATAACTTGGTAGATTTCAATGCAAACAAAACACAAGCATGCCTTTTCTCTAGAAAAGCCGATCTCAATGAGCCTTTGAAGACATCCATTTCGATGCTTGGTATTACTATCAGCAATAACCTTTCTTGGGAAAATCACGTGAGATCAAATACTATAAGTGCATCCCAAAAACTTGGTTTTCTGTTTCGGGCCAGGAGCTATTTCACTTCCAGTCAGCTGCTTATGATCTATAAGGCAGAGATTCGACCTGTCCTGGAATACTGTTCCCATATTTGGAGTACAGCTCGTTCAATGAAATAGGTACAGAAAAATAACATTTCATCTCTTATAAGACAGCCGATCAACAACATGACAAGTGTGTCCACACTCTTTGAAGAGCGTTAAATGAGATGTTCAAGGCACTCTAATTCAATGTATGTTGAGAGTTTGCTTAAAAATTGCAGAAAATTCAACAACTTCACTGACAATATATTTAAACAATGAATTTGCAATCTAGAGTACAGTAACCACTATGTAGCCAAACAAAACTGTTTAAAATAATCATGAAGCAAATATTTTCACCTGTCTCATTTGAAGAACACAGTATTGTGTATTATCCCTTGAATACCTCTTATTAAAGAAAGAATAATTTAGGAATGAACACAAATAAATACAAAAACCACTTGAAACTGTAGATAACATGTACCATTTAAGAGATGAAATTTTGTAGTTTGAAAAGTTGTTTCAATTGATTCCAAGAAATTTCAGACCTGCAAATGGAAACAATGAGAAAAAGTTCTCCTCATATACATATACTCAAATTGAAATGTGAATGAAAATGTCTAAGACAGCATCATTATTGATGAATCAACTAGGAGCTAAGAAAAAACATCATAGTCCTACGAGTGGTTTTGGAGAAAGCCAACTTTGAAAGTAGAAAGCTAATTTTTATCGGTCGGTTTTCTTTGTAGGTCAGTGTAATAATCGCAATTTTCATAGTAGATAGGTATTCAAAATCCTTCAATAATCAACTTCATTCATCTAATTACTTCATGTTTCAAAAATCTTTTGAAAGTATTATGAATTCCAGAATATCGACTTTCATAAGAAAAAATCATGTCAGAGCCCTGTATAATGTCTGACAATGTCATTGTTGTGAAAATGAAAAAAAAAACAGTTGAAAAATGAGATATTTTCACTTCTTCTTTCATATTTTGAAAACTAAAACTGTTTCCCCAAAGCGGTATGATGAGGAAAAAGCGATCTGTGTAACCAAAAATTCATGAGACTGTTTCAAACCAATATGATTTGTCTCTCATTTGGAATGTATAAGAAAGACCAAGTTGCTTTCAAACCTCAAATAACATTACACTGGAATTCCTAATTCAACTGGTTCTCATTTTTGAAGTTACCCCACGTTGCTTAAAACCTTTTTGTCAGGCTACAGAACTAGTGTTGCCACAACTACCTCCAGATCATGAACAAATTTGATACTACTAAAAACTAGTACCCTTTTTTTTGTCTTTGTTTTTTGGCAGTAGCAATGACTACCAAGGAAACAATTCAGATATGTATTTTTTGAAGAATGTATGTATTGTTTATATTTTGCTCCGCCATTATTTCTTAGTACTATGGACATCTCTCATACAATGTGTCTACATTATATTCCGAATTGAATTACCTAATCAAAATATACATATTATATCAAGTTACTTGTTTAGTACTTTCTTATGTGCTATTTTTTATTAATTCATAGACATCTATAGGAAGTATCATGATCAGTGCCGGAGTTATACTCCCTTACGCCGGGGGCTAACTTTTATGATGACGCCGCGCCGCCGCCAAATATTAAATTTCAATTGTCAGATTCGAAATTCAAATAATCCTTTCACTGCTTCTTCACAGCATATAACAATATCATGAAATCTTTATATACAACGAATCAAATTATATTTACTTCCCACGTTAAACATGACAAATATTTTTCTTCAGATGAATACTAAAATACTTTTCTTGATTTTTTGATGCAAAGTCGTCAATGGCATCATTAAAAATCCAGATTTAATAACATGTCACTGTTAATACTCAAAATTGATAAGCTATTCAATGTATCCTCTACCATGGAATTCCTGGGGTAGTTTTTCACTCTTTTTGAAGTTGAGAATGACCTTTCACCACTGGCATTACTAATCATCAGGGATAGGAAAATTCTTAGAGCTACTTCCACGTTGCAAAAAGTATCTGTGATCTTGTATTTGTGTAAAAGCGCCATCAACGATCTTGCATTAAATATTTCATCACTTTTGTTTTCGGCAATAGAATTCAGGAAATATTTCAATTGAACACATTCATTGCCGAGTGACTGACTCATCTACATCATTTGGGTATACATCAATCAAAACACGTGCTTTATTTACGATGACATCATCTGGCAGAGATGAGAACAAAAATGCGAATGTAGAAGAGAGATCTTCGTAGGCTTCAGCACGAATATTTACTTCACCCACCGAATGGTCGACTGCTTTGAGGAATACGGTATTACCTGGGTTCGCATTCTGGTCTGTGGTGTCAAAAAAGCTTCAGTGTCAGCTTCTTCAAGAGCCAGTATCCTCTTACGGCTCATAGTTGAGTTCTTTCGAAAGACAGTATCTTCTGATGCGGTGCCGACTGCCAGCAGTAGCTAATTGCGCGTTTGGTTCAAAAGGCGACTAAAGAGGCGGCATATATAATAAGCAAGAAGCAATATAATATATTTGTCGCCTCGTCGGCGACGACTGTATTGCTGCTTGCTTTTTCTCTACCGCCTCACCGCCGGGGGCTGATAGTCCCATACCCCCCCCCCCCTAAATCCGGCACTGGTCATGATGTTGTCCCACCAATATCAAAAGAATTAAATCAAAATAGTTCATTCACGTCCATACTGCCTGGTGATTGAAAATCAAATAGCTTGTGGCAACACTGTAGGCACATAACATCGCCAATCACAAAAACCGGCATAAAAGCATTCACTCACCTGGAACACCTGATTGAGCTGATAGTTGGTCGGCACCAAGACCGACCCTCCGCTCATGTTCTGCTGCCTGAGCATAGCCCCCTGCGGTCTGATCATCGCCTGTCCCTTCACCCCCATCGTCCCAGCCAAAGATGGCCGCCCCCTGCCCCTGTTCACCACGTTGGGCGACCCCTAAGGACAGTCATATTAGCAAAAATAGTAAAACTGATATTTTGTATGACGCTATCAATTTATGGGGAACTTCGACTTGGCCTACTTTGAAACTTAAGTCCAGTTCGCTATCAGCCGTTACCACCGATACAACAAGGCCTGCATGCTCCGTGGGTGACGTCACTTAGTGATGCCTAACCAGCGGCTCGAAACGACAAGCGCTTATAGCGCTATAAGGCGACCGCGTATTTCGATTTTAGTTTTAGATCATCATTGAGTCGATTTTGCTGTTTTTTGAAGGGCTTCCAGTTAAAAAAGGATGCCAGTTGTAATATATATCTAGCATGTACAGGTTCCTTAGGAACAGGAAATAATAACAAGATAGTGGCAGTCAACAAAAATAAAGAATTTTGAGAAAGTCAATCTTATTGAATTTATTAATATTTATTATTCTGTATATACAGAAATAGTACATGGTGTCAGGTGTGATTTTGTATTGAAGTATTGGCTGACATGGATTCGATAAGCAATGTCTTGTCATGATAAATGCAGTTTTACCTTTTTTAAGTAGAGTGTTTGTAGTTCATGTTAATATGATAGTTGCAATTTGACCGTTTTCAGAAAGAAATTTGAGAATGAGAATTAAGAATGCCGCCCATTTATTATGAATATTCAAGAAAATTTCCTCGAATTGAGAGATTTTGTTGACTATAATATACGAATACAAAACTAACCGCACAATCAAAGCTTTTCTATTTTTCCTCTACTTATACTTTTTATGAGAGAGTAATTGTCTTCTATTATTAATTCATCATTATAAATTGAGCTCTGTTTACTACTGAACTTAGATGGAGTAAAATCCTCGCGGTGAATTGCATACACCCACATTTTCGATAGCTCCTCGTCCAACGGGAAACTAAAAGCATGAACTTGTGAACCACCCACATAATTCCCCCGACAAAAGGGAACACAACACTTGAAAGGCATTGTTATTTCGCCGATCACAACACAAAATATTTCACAAAACAGTAATTTTTCCGCCAATTATTTTGATGAATAAACAACAAAAGAATTCGGGACCGTTTCAAAAACATACGTGAATCATCGATGAATTAACACGAACTGACGCGTTACTCGACAAGCGATAAAATAAAATACTGGCCTCTCTTGGTGACGTCACGAGCTGTTTACGTCAGAGTCTGCTGGCCTTGTTGTATCGGTGGTAACGTATCAGCACCAAGGTAGGTAAAATTCATTATTTATTATTGTAGAGGAAGGTTGCCTCCATCACCAGAACGCTGTGAGGGGAAGCGGTAATTCGTATGGAAATCCATATGCTACAACTGTCTTCCGGTATACTTACCGATCCAGTTGTGATCTAGAATTATACATACATCTCAATGATCCCAACATGAAATTTTGGATGCGATTACGTCACGAATTACTACTTCCCGTCACTGCGTTTTCCGATCGAGGCAACCTTCCTCTAAAAATAATCAATTCTACAAACCTAGATCAGCACCAGGGTTGGTAGAATTGATGATTCATTTGTAGAGGGAGGTTGCCTCGATCAGCAGATTGCGGTTAGGAGGAGCGGTAATTCGTAACGTAATCCCATCGAAAATTTCATTTCGGAGTCATGAGAATCTATATTCTACAACTGTCTTCCGGTATATTCAACTATCCAGCTGTGATCTAGAATTATACACATACATTTCAATGATTCCAACATCTGACATCTTTCTGACGTCACATACTATATGTACACGAAATTTCATGACTGTACTAATGACGTCGATTACCTTCGAAACTCTGCAACTTTCCCTGCTCGCCCCCACATAAGTCCCCCAGACCGACCAGGCAGATTCGCGCCTTAGTGTTCCACATCATAAATGGAACAATTCCAGAAGAAAATTGTGACTGTGCCGAGTCACGTTGAAAGTCATGTAGCCAGCTCTTAGACTAAGATGTAACTTATCAAACTCAATGAAAATATTATTGTATAAAGGTTTGAATCAATATAATAAGTTACCACAAGAATTGAAAAATGTCACATATCTTTATCAGTTTAAATCAAAACTTACTACCTTTATGAAATAAAATGTCATAAGATAGAATAGATATGTAGATTGATATTATTATTGTATAAGTACCTGAATCATTGTCTCTGCAATTTCTATGTTTTTGTATAAATATATAGGATGATTTTTTAATATTTCACATTAATTTATTTGTAATTAGCCATTGCTCCAATTTTTCAAGAACAGTTTGAATATTTTCTTTTATTGTTATAGAGATAGAGTTTATTTAACTATGTTACATACAAGTATGTTTATAGCAGGTCAGCAGGGCAAGGGAAAAGTAGCACAGTAAAGTATCAATAATAACATATTAAAATACAATATAGTGGTAATTTTGAAAATGTGATAAAAATAATTAGTATCTGTAATATAATATATCAAAGAATGACATGACAAGCGTATATGATATGATAAAAAATGACAAGTATCAATAAAATAATTTGAAAAAATCACATAAATAAATAGATAAATAATAAGATCAATTAAAAATTTATAAAAACAATGGCAAACATAAAAGCTATGTTGCCCTATGTAAGTCTAAGCTCTAAGAGATTTCGATTTTTGGAGGTATTCGGATATACTGTAGAAACAATTATCAAGAAGAAATCTTTTGATTGTTGTTTTGAATTTTTTTGGTTCCAGTAGTTTAACAGATTCATGAAGAACATTGTATAGATTGAAATTCAAAGAATTCTGTTGGCTTACAACTAGTCTATGTCTTTGAAGATTCAACAAGTCTGCAGATCTGGTGTTGTAAATATGTATATCCGAGTGTTTTATGAATTTGCTCTTGTTATTATGTATTTCCAGTAGAACTGTGAATATATACAGGGTAGGGAGTGGCATAATACCTAATTTGATGAAGGATTGTTCACAATGATCTCTATACTCAAGATTTGCTAGAATTCTTATAGCCCTTTTCTGTGACCTGAATACCCTATTTGCATTACAAGAGTTGCCCCAAAGAAGAATGCCATAGGATAAGATGAGTGATTTTCAGCACATCCATATTAGTAACAGGTTTAAGTTGCCTCAATATGAATAAAACACTAGATAACTTACTAAGCACCTGATCTACATGACTGGACCAATTTAATCTATCATCAATTTTTAAACCCAGTAGTGTAATATTATGCCCTTTTTGATACAGAGGATTTGAGGAGACGATCAAGTTTTGAGTGTTGTTCTCGTTTAGTTTGAGTTTATTTCGCGTAAACCAATTTTTTGCAACGTTCTTTTCGAGTTCAGCAGCTACGGGTAGTGCGTCATGCAGCTTACCCGAGCTTATGAGGGTGGTGTCATCAGCAAATAAAACGCATTTTATAGGTTCGATAGACTGACATAAGTCGTGTATGTATACTAGGAACAGAAACGGCCCAAGGACGGATCCTTGAGGTACGCCATGTTCGATATGTTTGAGATCTGATTTCTTGTTGTTTAAATCAACATACTGATACCTATTGTTCAGATAGGAACTGATGAGTTCTAAAATGGTACCTCTCAATCCGTAATGAGCCAATTTGTCAATGAGTATAGTATGTGATACACAGTCAAAAGCCTTGGTCAGGTCGCATAGTGTATATATATATAGAATTATTACCAGTATATACCAAGACCGTATCATCGGCGTTTATTTTACCATGTAGAGTGATGTACTATTACCATAATTATTTTTCTATTCAGGTTATTTTGATCTAACATACCTGCAGCTGCATCTTGGACAGGAACTGGTACTGCGACGACTTGGACATCGCCTGGTACGCCGCCGCCGTGGCGTTGAGCCCCTGCTGCCGGATCTTGGGCACTCTCGGTATCTTCGCGGGCGGCTCCCAATCGATGGGCGGCTCCATGTTGCGCTCGGGCTTGAACTTGCGCATGCACGTGACCAGATGGCGGGACAGCTTGCCCTTGCCGTTGTCCTCGAACGGGCAATTGGGGCACTGGTGGAAGGCGGGGGCGCGTTCGAGGTGGCCGCGCACCGCGTGCTCCGCCTCCATGTGGAAGAGGATGTCATGCGGGCTGCGCACCTGTCGTTTTGAATGGTTCGAGAATGATCATCAAACATTCCGATTCGAGTATCAGCGAAATACAACATACAAACGTCAAAAAATGACAAGGTTCGCGCATTGATAACAAATGGGGGACTTCGCTCCAAGTTGCCAACCTAAAAACCTCCACTACTCTAGAAGCAATACTATTCGCGAGATTCACGAAGTGGGCGACATCTAGGTTACTTAATACGAACTTCAAACTGGGGGAAAACAAACTGTTGTCTATGGATAGAGTGCATAGACTAAATTGCCCGAAGTTTGTAGACAAAGTGCAAAAATGTGCCTTTGGTTGAAATTTTCTGCCTCACACAAAATCACATGATTAGTACGGAGAACTGCTTCTCCTTCCACTACTGGTCGGCTTTGTCTATCTAAATAGAGCAAAATATCTGCCAAAAGAACATCTACAACAGGGATTATTAGCGTTTTCGATCGAATATTGACAATTAATGTCAATAAATTTAAAAACGTATCACTCTTATCAGTACACAGTACACAAGAGAATGGCACTAATGGGATTGAATTGAGTGAGGATTGAGTTTGTTTTCCCTCAGTTTTGACGTGGCTTTGACATGGAACGATGAAAACCGAGCGCAACCTGGTAACATTGATTCCCGCGAATAGAAGTTTGAATACTCAAATAGCTTCATTTTGGTGAAATCTGATTGTAAGAGTCCACTCAGGCTATATTCCGAATTCAACTGGTCAGTAGATCCACTGACTCTGCTGAAAATCTTTGTTCCGGAATATAAAATCAAAAATACAGTGCTGTAATTCGGAACACGTTTTCATGGTTTTCATCAGTAGCCAACAGCAGTTGATCAGCTGGTGAAATTTGTCAGTCTGTAGTTTCTCGTTTATCTGAACTAGATATTTAGCCTCCTCCTTGATATAAATTATGGAAATTTAATATTTAACATGGAAGAGCAATCGATTCTTGTAGCCTCCATAGTTTCTACGATTGTTGACGATGATGATTCAATCTCGAGTGATGAGGAATACCTACTTGGACATTTTGTTGCCATTCATTTTTCTTAATGCACCAGATCGAGAATTGAAAGATTGATGGAAAACGGCATTAATGATGATGAATTGAGGAGACATTTCAGCTTTAATTAGTTATTTATTTAGCCAATGCTGCTTCTTCTTTCGTTACCTCTACTACTTCATACTCCATATTATTCTCACCGTTTATTATACCAATAACAAGTATTTTCTTATATTGAAAATAATATTATTAACAACGGAAATAAATGTTACATACCTTCCCCCTCTAAAATGATGACAGTTCACTGAAGCCACACTACCTTTTGATACTCAGCAATTTCAGCAGAATGTGGAGTCGAAATATTTGGAATGAATAGTATGTCTGCTCACAAGCATCTGTCACTTTCGTTGAATTTTTTGATTTCGGAATGAAAAATCAGCAGATTCAGTACTGTCAGTTGAATTCGGAATATAGCCTCAGCTTTCCAATGAAAGTTATTCAAAAGAAAACTTAGTTTTTGTGAACTTCACATCTGACTGGTTGAAAATCATGTTGGTGCATCTGCGGTACGTCAATACTGAAATGTCAATACTTTCAATAGTGTCAGTAGTTCGAATCACGTTCGAACTTCGAATAATGATCAAGAAACTCTCATGAGGCACTTGCAAACCTATAATAAACTGGATGTGAGGGTTCCAAAGTTATCTGGTCTGGGGCTACTCTCGACTCGTCGTAATGGTAATCAACATAACATTGTTGTTAATGTTAATATAATATCATGATATAATAAATATCGTGATGTTCGAATAGTCTTGTGATTTCAGCTACCATTTGTGTCTAATTATTGAAATAAAATTATGTTATTTTGATACTGTTGTATTCCGAAATATGTGATATGTATCTCTATCATTGGAACCTGACCAGTTTTTATCCAAGGTTAGCCGTGTAAGGAGTGTTTTTATTTATGATATCGACTGTGATTTCTTCGTTTCCACACATTTATGGGTTCTTCCACTTAACGACACTTCCTAGGGTTATTTTTCATTTCAGGAAAAGGTTGAAACTTTATTATTTTATTCTTACGAAGTCATGTCTGGATCGGTTTTTAGCACTCAAATGAAATATATTTCTTTTTTTTCTTCTTCCTATTGCAACGAAAAATGTGACAAGTAATAAAATTGACGACATGACAAAAAGCCGGAGCATCAACATAATTTTCAACTAATCAGAACTGGAGTTCACAAAAATTAATGTTTCTTCTGAATAACTTTTATTACTGAGCGGGAGTAGACTCCTACAATCAGATTTCATCAAAATAAAGCTATTCGAATAATAAAACTTCCATAATGTTGCTTCTACGTTGGTAAAGGTTTTTAGGTTGGCAACTTGGAGCGAAGTCCCCCATTGCAGTGACACTTTTTTGCAGTTACCACTAGGGTTTTCAATTCCAGAATACCGATACCAGAAACCCCGGGGTCCAAGTTATATTTTTATACCGAGGATCCCGGGACACATCCGATCAGATCCCGGGATTATCGGGAATATTTTTGACCAATAAGACTTCGTTTTCGTCAAGTGAATCAGATTATTATTATTCGAAGTTCTTGAGAAATAGTATATTACGTAATATGTGTTGAATGGAGCATATTACGCACGAATGGAAAAGTTACCGAGGAGCGGCGAGTGCGTTATTCCATGAGTGCGTAATTGCTTTACAACACGCATTACGTACTATACTTTACCTACAGTTATGTCATCCGCTGTTGACGGCGATTACGCGATCATGACATACCTATTATACTGGCGGAATAAACGAAAACTGTGCGATGTGCTTACTGTGCGTAAAGAGCTACTTACTGAGGCTGTATTTCGTGTGTTCTTGCCTACTTTCTATAGTGGCCGTAGGTAAAGTAATTTACGTAAGCGCGAAGTGGAATGGATGATGAAGTCTTTCAGTTCTTTCTCGGAGAAAGTGTTATTGGCTTATTTTTCGGAACTTGCACAACAAACGCCAAAATGACCAGATAATTTTGCATTCAAGCGTGTTATCTTATACAAATTGCATTTCTCCTTCGGAGTCGGGCTCTTTCGCCAAAATATGAAAATAAACTTGCAATTTTTAGACCACACGCTTTCTTACAAAATTATCGGTAATTTTTATGCACTTGTGCAAGTTGTGCAATTATATTCGACAATTAGTCCTGCGTTGCCAGGAAAGCTTTTGAAGTACTAAAATATCTGTCGATATCATTCTGTGATTTGATTTAAACATTACGAACTTAAAATTAGTGATTTAGGAAACCGCGTAAGTATTCAAGATTTATGGAATGGAATATGGAAAAGACATACAGTTCTTTCTCGGAGCCGGTGTTGGCTTATTTTTCGGAACTGTTACAACAACAAAAGTGCACATTTTTATTCCTAGGAAAACAAGAAATGTTATCAAGAGTGACATTTTTGTAACTTGTCAACAGAGATGTATGTCATTTTCTTCCGTCACAGAAAAATAGCTTTTCATTATACAAAGGGATTTTGGAGTACGTCCGCTTCGCTCGTCGGATTCCAAACAACGCGTGCGACAATATAGTATTATACAACACTTATTTCTATTTCTTGTGCCCTTTGTGATATTGAAGGTTTTGAAATACAATCATGTTTCAAGTATCCATATGTGACAAATTCGAGGATATCAAGAGGCCAATGACGTTTATGTTCCAGTTCTGAAAGCTATATCTATATATCGACCTTATAGTGCCCTACCTCTGTAGAACACTGTAGTTTTTCAAATCGCCGCTCGATGCCAGCGACAAATTAAAATTATCAACAAACAATTCAATTCATGTATCAATAAATATTTTGATACATGAAATAAAATGCTACATATTTATCTTGGCTCATCATAAATTACAAACAATCCTAAAATTGTTGAATTGTCAGAATTTGTTCAACAGTCAATTGAACATATGAAATCATATAGCATTTCAAATAGAATTTCATTTCTGAACAAACAAATATTATATCGGGTGTTTCTCAGAAGTGGCTCACCCCTATAACTTTTCAGTTTTTACAGATAAACAAATGATATTCGGTGTGTAAGTATAGTACATAAATATACATCATTTGACGTTTCCAATTGTTTTCGGTCACTTCCGGTTAGACCAAAAGTGGCCCATATTTTCTCATTTCCAATGGACACCCGGTATATTTTTGAATATTTCAATAAAGTATCACATTGTGAGTACAATGATATCCCATTTGCCAATTTTCGACAGTTTTTATCCTGAAATTTCCATTTTTCAATTTTCAATGTAGAGTGCCATGAATGAGTTAAAACAGTTGATTTTGAATCATGTTGCCTAAGAAAAATAGTTTTGTTAAAGTTAGTATAATGAGGTATCTCAAAATCGAAATGAAAAACTCACTGGTTTTTGTTATGAAATCCTAAACCCTAACCTCAATCCGCAAAGCTTACGAAACCAAAACGCAGAAAACGCTCGTCCGGCTTGCCAAACGTAGATTGGGTAAATTTTACCTACCTCTCGGAGTAGGATGAATAGTTGGAAGTCGGATGTTCTTCCTATGGAAATTGAAACGATATTTGGCATCTGTTGAGTAACTTCAACTGTAAATTGAAACGACCTATTGACATGCAAAGTAAATAAACTGGTGTGTAATAAAAAGTAAAACGGTGTTCCATACGCACCTCGTACGCGCAGAAGTTGCACTTGTAGACAAAGTTCTTCATGTGGGGCGTCTCCAGATGATAGGACATCGCCAATGCCGATTCGGTCTTGAAGTTGCAGAACTCGCACTTCTTCAGCTCGAGCTTGAAGTGCTCGTTTTGGGGCTTGCACTGCTCGAGGTGCTTGACCAGCGATCTGATAGTCTTCTCGGTCTCCGGATTGGCTCCGCCTTCTCGGCTGTGTTTGCGCTTCTGCTGCTTCAGCAGGTCGGTTTGCACGAACTCCTGGACGAGACCGAAGCCGATGTTGATGAAGAATTTGCCTAGGGGACTGTCGAAGTAGGAGTACGGTTTTTTGGGATCGTCTACTTCCTTCTTCGGTACATAGACAGGATCGTTCTTGTCCTCGGTTTTTATTTCCTCCTCGTCAGTGCCTTTTTCGCTCTTCTCGTCATCTTCCTCGTCCTCTTTTTTCTCCCCACTATCTTCCCCTTCCTTCTTCTCAAGCGCTTCTTTTTTCTCTATGCTCTTCAATTTTTCTTTTATCTCTTTCTGAATGTCTTCGATGAAATGTTTAAAGTCTTTCACGGGTGGTTTTTCGTAAACATACGGGACTATGAACGAAGGTGCTTCCACCACGAACATGTCATCGGTGAGGGTAGGAAGTAGGGGTGTAGTCACAGCAGGAGTTATTGTGGCAGGAGTGGATCTAGGAGGTGGGGTACTGGCAATGTTGGTCGAGTTTATTGGTATGGGGGTTATTGTTGCTCTCATATTGGGGGGATACATTCCTTGGGCGGGCAGAGCCATCGGGAGTACTGTTTGGAAATTGGATGAATTCAACGGGATGGGACTAGGCTTGCTATTCACAGGAACTGGTCCGCGACCTGATAAAATAGAATTAGTATCAATAATAACGAGAGTAGGCTCCTTTTTACCCTGAGGAGAACTATTTGATTTAGAAGCTATTTCTACCAGTCTTTTAGTATTTTTTACCACTATCGCGGGAGATTTACCTGGCGGTTTCGGACCGGCCGGTATCCTTTCGACGGTTACCGCATCGCTGCATGCCAAAGGGTCTTGAGGCAGAACTTCTTCCACGTCAGATTCTTCAGATATATGAGGAGAGTCTTCCTTCTCACTTTCTTTGTCGCTTTCGACATAACTCTTGCTCTTGTTCAAGTTCCTCGAACTCCTACGAGGAGCTATGTCTGGATCTTCCGTTTTAATTTTATTTTGTTCTTTCTTCTTGGGACTTGAGTCTACATTGATAATTTCGGTAGTGCCATTTTGTTTCGGTTCATCTACAAACATCACATCTCCATCTCCTTCGCCGCCAGAATCGTTCAGTTCAATTGGTTCCATATTACTAATTTTATTTTTCCCTTCAACTTCTTCATCATCAGAGTGGATTTCATGAACAATGTCCTCTTGGTCCTCAGTTTTGCTACTGTTTTCTTCACGTTTTTCAGAGGCTTCTGTACTATGTGTGCTATTTTCTTCTTCAGTTTTTGATTTATCGTCTTCTTCATCTTCTTTATCAATTTTTTCATCATTAGCTTCCTCTTCCTCATTGGTTGCTTCTTCTTTCTCTTTCGTAACATCTTCCACTTTGGTACTGGAGTCAATGTTTTTTATTTCTTCATGTTCTTCACTAGACTCATCCTGTTCTTCCGTATGCTCTTCACTCATCTTGGTTTCCTGACTGCTTTCATCTTCATGGGCTGCAGAATGATTTTCACTCTGAATTTCAGATGCAACTGAACTCGTTTCATCTTCTTCTTCAGCCGTATTTTCATTGTCCTCATTACAATCATTGCTTTCTTCTGTTAAACTTGCACTTTCTAATTTATTCCCTTTAGCTACTTCTTCCAATTCATCTACTTCCATCGCCTCGGGTAGGCTTGCTTTTTTCAGGCTGTCTTGACTATCATTTTCCATATCAATGTCATTTGATATATCACCATTAGTTATTATCCCACCTGTTGCAGAAAATATTATCATTCAATGATGGTTCAAGAAATCCAACAATATCTTACCTTCTTCTTTGGAAATCATTTCATCTACCTCTCCCATTTCTGCCACAGCTGCCATAGCCAATTACCTCCTACCTGTCAAACGAATACAGAAAATATGTATATACAGGATGTAATAAATTCTAGAATTTATGGTTGCTACTGTCCTGAAACTAGCATATGACATCTGATAGATCTTACTGAACTGAAATATTTTCTATTGTGACATTAGATTGAACTCAAATAATCCACAATAAAACTACCACCGGCCAGGATTTCCAAACAAAAAGAAAGAAAATCATCAAAAATCGTATCAAAAACTAAAAATGGATAATAGGATCAAACAACTAGTTGTTTGTGCATTACCAACCTAAAATGTATCAAACTAATTGTTGACCAATTTGTGGCAAACTTCAAAGTAACAAGTAATGAATAAGTCATAAATAGGTCAATTTTGATAATAGTACCTCATAGTTTGAGTATCATACCTAGGATCAAAGCAAAGAGTTAAAAATTGCATTTCAATTATTTGAATGAATTTACTATACTACTTTACTAGTAAGTGTTCATTATGCTGTTTGTTTCTTTTTTGAATAAAATTCAACTTGATCATTATACAGGGAATAACAAAAGTTAGCCTTTCACTCTCACCCTGTGGCAAAGGTGAGTGGTTAAACTTAGCTTCATCATGTTTTTTATTGATGTGTGATCTCTTCTTAACCCAATGGTTTGGTTTTTGTTTCACGTTGATGACCACTTTTTAAGAGAAGATACAATGGTTTTAAGAAAGTATGGATTTTTCGATTTTTATTTAAAATAATTCAGAGCCATTCTCCAACCTTCTGCTTCATCATGTTTTGAATTGAAGTGTGATCCTATTTCGTCCCTTCTCAGATTCACGTTAATATTATCATTCTCAAGAGAAGATACAAGTGTTTTAAGTATGGATTTTTTTTAATTTTTATTAACAATAATTCAGAACCAATAGGGCATCTTAGAGATGAGCTCCAGAGACTCATTCCTCCTCGTCCGGCCTTGTCACTCTTCAAGAAGTATGATTCAAGGAAAATTTAGGCAATTCTCTTGGCAATTCTTCATGGCAATTTGAGAAATTTGATCAATTCGATGCCACGGCGGTTGAATGCTGTAATTCAAACTCGAGGAAGGCATACTCGTCATTGACTCCAGGTCTGATGTTTTTTTGTTTATTATAATAAGGGTTTTTTTCCGGTGAGTGCTAAAAAAATTAAGTAGATATGAGGGATATTGATTTCCAGAGTTGTTAATCAATAAGTATATGTAGGTTCTGATTATTGTTGATAAGAATTGAAAAATGACATACTTTCTTAAAATAGTCAAATCTTCTCATAAAAATAAGATCATGACGTGAATCAAAACCTATTTTGTCAAGAAAGGATCACACTTCAATCCAAAACATGATGAAACCAAGTTCAAACACTCAATTTCGCCACAGTGCCTTGAGAAGTAAAGGGCAAAAGAGTAACATTGGTTTTTTTCCTACATAATGGTCAAGTCATCAGCTTTTCAGGGAAACTAATATTTAGACCAACATTTCGTGACATCAATCTACGATTTTATCGAAATATCACAAAAATCAGACAAGTATTAAAAAAGTTACAGGGAGAACAATTTGGGCAAATTTTTTGGTGGCCAGTTTTTTTTGCCGGTGAGTATATAATTTCAATGGATATAATTTTAATATACTTGTAGTAAGACACATTGTTACTGCCCTGAAATATTTCACTATTAGGAACCTAAGAAGAAATTCACTTGATAGTAAGTAACACTTTATTAGAATAATATGTGGAAATTTAACTCTTCAAACCCTCGTATCTTTCACCAAAATAATATTTGATACAATTTTTTTTAAAATGAGTTAGGTGCATCTTGATAATAGAATGAGAAATTACAGGGTGTGGTGAATTTATTAATAATTCAACAAAACTAAGAATTCAATTAACAACCAAGAATTCATGATTGGCAATTAAAAACTAAGAAGATGGCCATTTTCCGTTTCAACAACTAATAATTATCAATTAAGGAAATTGTCGCATGTGCTTTAGATTTTTTTAACATAAAAAATGGAAATATATTACAGAAATGAGATTTGCTGAACTAAATGACCAAAGGGACATTTTTTAAACACACCATAATATGAATTTTTTTGTTATGAAACCATCATTAATAACAAATAAATCAGGAGATGGTGACAGGTGACGTTATCCCATTTTTACACTGCATGCCTTTTTAAGGCTTTATAATTAACCATAAAATATGAACAATAGACGGATTCCTGGCAGCCGCGCGTGTGCACTTCATAAGGAAAAGCGCTTTTCTTTTTGTGAAGAATTTTCGTGTTTTTCTGCTTGCCGTGGTAATATACGGAAGCTCAAACAAACTGGATAGCTGATAATTGATCGCATGCAATCCGCAGCGGCCGAACGGGCTCAAAAAGGTTATGAAAAACTGAAGAAAATTGAAGGGGACTAACGTGTTTTCAAATGGGCGAGTGGACTAATATTGAATTATTGGCATTCAATTACCGCACTGTGACGTTAGGGACCTAAATTAATTTTTGCAACACTTCTCAGGCTTTTTATGTAAATAGTGAGTCTGTGCAGTGTTCAAAATTGTTGAATTTCAGAGCTCATTTCAAACGTACCATCATGGCCGCCATTCGGCGATACGTCGTATAAATGGTGACGTCAGTTTTAATGCTGTTCCCTTATTGGTCAGATATTCTCTCATTCCCACTTATGAAGCAAGGTTGCCAAGTCACCAATTATAATCAAGTTATCAAAAAGAGTTCTCTCGTTGAATAAAACATGAAAGGAGGAACCCATGATATTATAGTAGTAGTAGTAGTAGTAGTCTTTATTGGCCATATAAAAATACATAGTAGTATAGATAGAAACTAAAAATTGTGTGTATAATAAGCTAGGTATGATAGTCATTACAACACATATGGGATAAGAAACAATTTACAAACCTCTCTAAATAAATAAATTCTTCTATAGAATAGGAACCGTTTTTTATGAGGAAGTATTTTTCCTTTGATTTAAAACTGTTGTAGCTATCCAAGCTTGTTAGGTTCTCTGGTAAAGCATTGGAAAGTGTTATGCAGTTGAAAATGGTAGATTTTTTGAAAGTTGAAGTATTATATTCAGCAATAGACAGTTCATTGCATCTAGTATTGTATCTATGAAGACTGTTCTGCAGATGAAACCTTTCAGGATGTAGGATGTAAGTTACACAGCTTTATCGGAATTCCATATTAAGAATAATTCTGTAATAAACTGTAGTACAGTTTCATTAGCCCCTCTTGATCTAGGTAGGATTTCATTTGGAAAATGGCATAGAATGACTTGTTGAGAGTGGAACAGACATGGTTTAAATGGGTGTCAAAGCTTAGATTTGAGTCCAAGTAAGTACCTAGTAGCTTGACATGATTATCAAGTTTTAAATGGTGCATAGTAGGAGTACGGTAAATGCTTCATCATGTGAAAATTTATACAAAGGATTTTACTTTTATTAAGAATAAGGTCAATCCTTTGACACCAGCTTTCCACGTCACTTATGATCTGCCCTATCATCCTTGGAGTTGATTCTTGACATTTTCGAGCAACCAGCATACCCAAAAATGTCTTATGCTCCATAACAAAATATCATGTAAATGTTGGAGACTTGGCAACATTGTGCTGAATGCTGAGAACTGACAATACCACGCCCACAAGTCGGGCGACGTGTTGTCACGTTTATCCGAGCGTTTACCGGTTCAAATGTCCTCCAGTGTGAATTAATATAATTATCTGGATAATTATTATTCACACAAATGTATTATAAGTAATAGGCCACAACAGATGAAAGAACATTTTGAGACAATTGATTTTTTAATGGTGAATAGGAATAATTGAGAATTTAAGGATTATTGAATATTTCTGAAGTTCCCAATCGTATTCCAAGATATGGCAACTGTGCTATGGTCTGCCCCTACTTACGAAATCGTGACGTCAATAAATTTCTAGCCGTTTGAAAATTACCGTGGCATTATTGATAATTTTGGCACCTTAAAATCAACCGAAAAATTCTGAAAAAATATAAAATTGAAAGGTATTTGGGTGATGATTCTATTTAGGAAATAAAAATAAAAGAAAAATCAATTAATTTAGTAGGTAATTTAGCATGTACAACAGGATTTTGCAAAATAAAACCTTTTTTTACACTTTCTTCATGCATGCTAGTAACGGATGTCTCTCGGGACGTCTTGAGCATTAACATCAAAATTTGAAGTCTGGTCTCGTGTTTCCGTTTTTTTTTTTTTTCGAAAACGGAGCGACCTAAGGCCTGTCAACAAGAGCATAATTTTTGTACAGAATTGAATGGCCTTTCATAGCATTGTACGAAATTTGTAAATATTCCTACGTTCAAACAGAACATTTTTGTACAGGGTGTCCCACTTACATGTGTAACCCCCCTTTATCCTCGTATTTCTCAACATATTTTGGTCATTCAAAAACTTTTCTGGAATGAGTTTTTACGATTTATTTTAATCTGTGCTTACTTTCTCTATACAGGGTGTTACATAATTCAATACAAATATTTTAATGACATATTCCTGGGGTCAAAATAAGACTTTTTTTTCCTATAAACATGTGTCCTAAAATCCACCCCCTCCAAGCTACAGACATCGCAAGATGCGCAAAAAAAATCTTAAATTTTGAATCAAGAAATGAATAGATCGTCTAAAAATACAAATGCCTGTGAATTTTCAAAATATTTGATGCATAATTGTAGCCACAATTCAAAATTTGAGATTTTTTTGCGCATCTTGCGATGTCTGTAGTTTGGAGGGGGTGGATTTTAGGACACATGTTTATAGGAAAAAAAAGTCTTATTTTGACCCCAGGAACATGTCAATAAAATATTTGTATTGAATTATGTAACACCCTGTATATCAACAAATTACAGGGTGGTTCAGATATTTTTTATATTTTTTTCCATAATTCGTTGAAACCCTTCAATCTGTATTCAAATATACAGAGGTGTTCACAAAAAACGGCCAGACATGTAACTTC